AAGTACGGTCCCCACATCTCTGGAAAACTCATAGTCCGGTCATCCCAGGTGAAGCAATGAAATGGGCAACCACTATGAGGACATTCAAAGCACAGCTGCTGCTATCTGGGAAATCCCAGCTGGCCACAGATCCTGAATCATCACCACAGATGTTAAAGCCAGAATGGACGCTGCCACTAATAGGCGCCAAGCCACAACCAGGACCTGGACACTTCCATGGAAGGACCCCGGAATTCCAAGCCAGCTAGTTACACAGACTTGCTCCAGCCACGTGATTAACATCACTGATAGCCCAATGTCTCATTTCTAATGACTGAATATTTGAGAACTAACTTATGACATTATAGCAGATTTTACTGATTTCTTTTATAATCAAAAATTAAATCAAAAATGAAATTAATAGAAAGAATATTCGATTAGTTTTTTAATTCCAACCACGTGGAAATTTAAAAGTACTCTCCTAAATCACTATGGAGATAAAAATTACTTAAAATTATAGCGTAATTCTAAGGGCACCTGGCTGGCCCAGTCAGTGGAGCATGCAACTCTTGATCTCAGGGTTGTGAGTTTGACCCCCACCCTGGGTGTACTTAAAAAAAAAATCTTTTAAAAAATTAATGTAATTATAAACAGTTTAGAATATATTTTTAAAAATCAGAACACTATGCATCCAAACTTAAGGAACAGATCCAAAGCTGCATTCAAAGGAAAATTCATAGTAGTAAACATTCTCTTACAAAGAAAAACAGAAAAATAAATAAAGCATTCACTTCAAGGAATTAAGTTGGAGAAAAGAAATGATGTTAAAAGATAAAGGTAACACAAAGGAAATAACATGGAAAACATATCAGAATTGAGAAATAACTCCAAGAGCTGGTTGTATGAAAACAAACCCATGACAGACTTTGACAAAGCTTATTAGAAAGAGAAAGCATCCACTGTAATGGGGTTATATTTTGAAAATTATTATTGATTTTTTTCTCTTTTGTCTTTCTGACCATGACATGAATTTTCCTGCTGTCATTTTAAAGCATCCTTTCGGGGATTCTGGAGAGAGAAAGACTTGTTACTGAAAAAAGGCAAAGAGAAAGGATAAGGTGATACTCAGCTTTAGCCAAGCAAAACAAGATATGCTACGGCCCCAAGAAGAGATTTCCAAATTCTTCTCATTCTCCCTCTTTAGCACATTAACCGCCTTACTTGGAAGACACAGCTCCTGGAGCTTTCTCAGTCTTTTCACTCCTGGTCCCCATGAATTACCATTAAAGCTTAGGTTTGAATTAGGCCTGGAGGTTTGAGTCAGGACAGAAGAAAATATGAGGGACAGGGGTAGCCTGCCCATTCCCAGCTGGGAGCAGAGGTGGAAAGAAGACAGAGAAAGGAAAAGAAGAACTCTGGCTTGGGGACAGGAAGGTAAGGGTAACCACAAGAGTAGAGGGACGCTGGCCTCCTCCCCCAGCTAGGACTCTGAAAAGAGATCACCTCTTGGACAGCCTGCCATCCTGACATTACCTTAGAGTAGGGTCACATGTCTTTCATGGGGCAAGTAGAGGGAGGCCCTATATTTAATTTCCTGAGCCAGCCTCAGTTCTTATATGTTTAGATGGGTCCCAGAAATAGCTGGGAGACTGGCTGTGGAGCTAGCTAGCCAGAGCTGGGTGAGACAGCGTCAGAGCAAATGTTGCAGAGTGACAACACAGGAGAGGACTAAAAGATAATCTTCACCAGATCCCAGAGAGGTAGCAGCAGGTGGGAGCCCCGTGAGGAAGATAGAGTGGGGGGACCAATAAGGTAGAATACCCGAGGAAAAAGAATGAGCAACAAACTGCAATTTCCTAACTGGCTATCAGCAGGGTAGTACTCAGCCATCAGGTGGAAAATGGACAACATCCCTCTGGAGATTAGAGGAGTTTCAAGGGATACCATGATCATGAACCCCAACTCTGAACTCTACCAACACATCATCGAAGCCCACCTCCCCCTTGTATCTGGGTGTCATCTTTAAGTAAGAAGAAATGGTGAAAACAATATGAAAGATAGAGCATTTGCTCCCAGAAAGAATAAATGTTACCAAAAGGAGTTGCTTAAATTGTCACATCTGACTAAGCTTTAACCTTACACACAGACACCCCATCTTGCCCAGCACCTAAGAAAGGCTACACAGCAGGGACATTAAGAGTGTGGGATTCTGGGTCCACGTGGCCTGGGTGTGACTCCGGGATCCACAATTTGCCAACCCTGTGACTCTGGACAATTTACTTCATCACTCTGTGCCTCAGTTTCCTCAACTATGAAACGAAGATAATCATAGTTTCTCTTAGTAGTTTTTAAGGATTAAGTGAGCTAATAAATGTAAAGTGCCTAGATCAATACCTGGCCCATAAAAACAGTCACTAAGTGTTGTCTATCTTTATTACTATTAGCATTACTATTATTACTTTTACCTATTACCTACAGTATGGGGCTCATGAAGGCAAGATCAGATCAGCTAGAGAAAAATTAAGAAATTATAATTTCCTGGGGTGCCTGGGTGGTACAGTCAGTTAAGTGTCCAACTCTTGGTTTTGGCTCAGGTCCTGATCTCAGGGTCATGGGATCGAGCCCCACTTAGGGCTCTGAGCTCAGCAGGGAGTCTGCTTGAGAATCTTTCTCCCTCTGCCTCTGCCCCTCCCGCTCGTGCCCTCTCTCTTTCTCTCTCTCTCTCTCTCTCTAAAATAAATAAATAAATCTTTAAAAGAAATTATAATCTCTCCCCATAATCAAGTAGTATAGATTAAAATTTGTACCATTACATAATTAAAATCATAAATGATAAAGGGGATGTAAAATAAATCAGACAGGTTTTAAAAAACATACCAGAATGGTATAAAAAAAATCTTTAAATCAGATTCAGAAAAACATATGAATCACCTATATTAGCTCAAGAAGTATGCAAAGTAGAAAAGAAGTATGCCAAAAGAAGCTAAAAAATTCATCAAAGAATTACCTCAAAAAGGCCTAGGACCGGCTAATTCAATTAGTGCATTCTTTCAAAATTTCGCCAAGGGGCAACGCCAAAACGAATAACAAACAGTACCAAGGCCTGGAAAAAGATGGAATGCTCCCCAGATCACTGGAAAGCTACACTATCTACACTATACAAACCTGCATCACATAAAACTAGAGGCCACTATTTTTCTCAAAAGCTTTGTTGCTCTAGGATTTCTTAGGGCCTCTAACAGGCTGTAAAATCCTAATAGGAGGATTGTGGGAGATTATTCCTGCACTTCAAGATTTCTTCCAGGCTCCCCCAGACCTTTCTTAGGACTCTGCCATACAGGAACCTGGGATCGTGCAGTCGGTAGATTAAGAAGGTCCAAGAGCCAAGAGTATACAGAAGGAAGCATAGAAAAAAGGATTCACAAGAGATAAGCAGAGGAAAAGAGACAGTACACAAAATTGCAGTAATAATAGCATTGCTGAGGCATGAAACAGTACATTCTTCTGGTGAAAATGTAAATTCAATCAACAGTTCCAGGATGTAATTGGCCCTATGTGTTTGGAACCTAGTATATACTCTTTAACCTAATAATATGACTTCTATCACTCCATCCTGGAGAATTCATTTAATAGGAAGATAAGGATTTACATACAAGGATGTGCTTAGTAGAATTATTAACAGGGGCACCTGGGTGGCTCAGTTGGTTAAATATCTGCCTTCGGCTCAGGTCATGATCCCAGGGTCCTGGGATCGAGCCCCACATCGGGCTCCCTGCTCCACGGGAGGCCTGGCTTCTCCCTCTCCCACTCCCCCTGCTTGTGTTCCCTCTCTCACTGTGTCTCTCTCTGTCAAATAAATAAAATCTTTAAAAAAAAAAAGAATTATTAACTGCAAATAAAACAAAAACCAAACAGGAAACAGTCTAAATGTCTAGAGCTACAGTTAAATAGATGGCACATTCATATGATGAATTATCCAACAATTAAAAGTAATGTTTGGGGGGGGTTAATGACATGTATTTGTTTAATTTTTTAGAAAAAAAGGCAGACCACAAACTACAAAGTTTAATCTTAAGTATATTTTAAAAATATATGTAGGTCGGAAAAACTACTGGACGAATATAGACCAAAGCCTTAATATGATCTGTGGGTGGTAGAGCTCTGAGTGAATATTTTTTAATACATTTCTCATATTATCTAACTTTCTTCAACAAGCACGTATTACTTTTATAATCCGAAAGAAAGATAAAAACCAAATAATTATTGCACATGGATAAACACTCCTATGAGTGAAAAAGAACAGTTTTTAAATCTCCATTCACTAAGGACAAAAAGAATCTCAACGTTGTGCACAGAATTCTCCCAAACGTGAATCTTGCACGGGTGCACTGTAAAGCATGAAGACAAAAAGCAAACCAACTGAATCCCTCTGCAGACAGGCTGAGCTGTCTCTCTCAGGGGTTTTCAGCACACGGTTACTGAGAAGGGGCCTCAGCACCCATTTTTTTTTGCAAAGTGCAGCTGTTTGAGTATCTCCCTTGGTTTGAAGAACCTCTACGTGGAGGTATGGGCTTTACAAGGGAGGTTGAAGCAGTGTGAGGAGTTACACACAGTGTTACACACACACACACACACACACACACACAGTGTGAGGAGTTACACACACACACCACTCCCACCCCACTCACACACACGCAGTGTGAGGACACGGACACACACACACCCCACTCCCACCCCACTCACACACACGCAGTGTGAGGACACACACACACATCACTCCCACCCCACTCACACACACGCAGTGTGGACACGCAGTGTGAACGAACACACACACACACCACTCCCACCCCACTCCCACACACGCAGTGTGAACGCACGCGCGCACACACACACACGCACACACCCCGCCCCAGCGCACACAATCGTGCGGTCCCAGCCAGACAACTCGAAGCGAGCCCTGCGGCAGCAGCCGCGCCCCACCCGCGCCCCGCAGCCGCCGAGCCCCCTCCCGCCGCGGATACCTGTTCGTGGGGCGCGGTAGCTGGGTCGCCGGGCTCCGCAGCGTCCTCAGCGCGGCGGGGGTGCCGCGCGCGGTGTCTCTGCTCTCCTCCACCAGGAGCCTGCGCCGCCAGGAAGAAAACTAAGTTGTTACACCTGGCTGGCAGGCTCGGCAGCGGCAGCGCGCTCGCACCTGGCCGGGGCGTCCTCGCGCGCCCCGGCGCCCCCCGGCAGCTCCCAAACCCCGGAGTGTGAAGCCGCTTAGGGCGGGAAGGAAGGGAAAGCGTGGACCAGAACGGCGAGCCCGGGAGACCGCCGGGGACCCGACGGCGGGTCCCGCTCCGCAGCGACGCCCGCCGGAGCCCTCACAACCCCTCTCCGCCGCAGCCGCTGCCCACCCGGTCCCAGCGTCGCCCCTCGGGCACCCCCGCCCCGGCCAGTCCTGCCTCCCGGACGCCCCCTTCCCGGCCCGCCCTCGTGCGACCGCCGCCCGTCGGCTTCCCTTCGCCGCGGCCCCAAAGTCGGCGCCCGGAGTGGGGCGGCCGGGCGGCGGGGGAGCCCCGGGGCGCGCGCGGCGGGTGGGTTACCTGGAGCGGGCGGGCGCGTCGATGGAGCACCAGAGCAGGCGCAGCAGCAGCAGCAGCAGCAGGCTGGCGAGCAGGGCGAGCAGCGCGCCCCCCGGCCGCATCCTGAGCCCCGCGCACGGCCGCCGCCGCCGCCGCCGCCGCCGCCCCGGCGAAGCGCAGCCCGGGCCGGCCCGACTCGCCGCTCCCGCCGCCGCCGCAGCCACGCGCACCTCCAGTGTTCAAAGGCGGCGGGGAGGGGCGACGACGGCGCGCGGCGCGGGCCCGCACTCCCGGGCGCCCCGGGCCAGCCTCGCACGGTGTGCGGCGGGCAAAGGGAGAAGGCGCGGGCCGGCTCTCGCCTTCTCGCGCCCGGCCCCGGACCGCTCAGCTCGGCGCTCGGGTCGGCCGTGACGATTCGCCGAGCTCGCCTCCTCTCCTTCCGGAGGCGCTCCGAGCTGCTGCGGGCTCCGGTCGCCGCCGCCGCCGCCGCCGCCGCTGCCGCCGCCGCCGCCGCCGCCGCCGCGCTGGGTCACCTGAAGGTTGGGACTCGCGAGCTGCATGCACTCGGTGCTGATTGGGCTCCAACTTTTGGGCGCCCTCGGCTTCTCCGGAGTGCCCGCGGGCTCTTCCCCGGAGCCCACGCAGCTCACCCAAGCACACCACAACTCCTTCCGCGTCCCTGCGGTGGACAGCAAGAACTCGGAGGGGTGGAAGAGGGGAGAAGAAAGGGCCCACTTCAAAACTTTTTTAAAACTGTGTAGTCGCTCAGCTGGATCGCTCCACGCAAAGGCTGCTAGGGACTCGGTTTTGTTGGGTAGATCCTGGTACCCAAGAGAAGGAGTAACCGTCCCTTACTTGAGCGCAGATGCAGAAGCACAGAGAATGGATTTCCAGGAGCCAGGGAATCTTTAGGGGTTGGCATACCACCTGAAGGCCGAATTCGGCCCCAGCCTGGTTTTGTAAATAGTGTCTTTGGAACACCTACATGCCCGTAGGCTGTATGTAGCTGTGTCACCTGGGGCTGCTTTTGCTTTACGAGGGCAGGGGTGGGTGGTGGTGACAAAGATCATATGGCCCACAAAGCCTAAAGTATTTGTCTAACCCTTTCCAGAAAAACTTAGCGGCTCCCTGGTCCTAATCATGTTGGTCTAGATCATATTGGTTAGATACCGGAAAATGATCCTGTGACAGTGTGATACAATCTGGCTCTCCTCTTTCAGCCCCAATCTATTCTGCCATCGTCCCTCCGTGCACTCCGGCACACTGCGCACGTCTCCTGCCGGGCAACCTCAGGTTTACTCCTGACTCAACACTTGAGGAACCTTAGTAAACCATAAACCCCATAACTGTTATATGGGGGCTCATTTGACCATTCACTACTTATGTACAGATTTCAGATTTTTCCAAAAGCAACACCTGGACTCCACCGTCTTGCAAATACCTTGATAAGGTACTTTGGAAAGGCTTAAACTTTGAAAAGGCTTTGATGAGTTAGGTTTCCCAAGTGACAAAAATATTTGTATTTCAGTTGGAGTCTCCTAGAGGCGTAAGGTCTTAACCTGAAAGACGCACGGCAGAGCCTTTGGGGGAGCAACTTGCCCAAACAATAAAGCTGTTGCCAGGGATTTTGTCACTGAAAAAATAACTTATATCAAGAAGAGAAATATGGGCTGCCTAGTTCCTTTCTGCTAACCCTGCATTTACTCTAATTAAAACTAGTTGACAACAAACCAGAACTTTGCACGTAGTAGTCGATCAATAAGTGTTTGATCGATGAATAAAACACCTAGGAACTAATACTTTTCTTAAAGAGGAAAAAACTGAAAATAGGTGTGACTGGAAATATGATTTCCTTCCATAGCTCACTCCTACTGTTAAAATATGTACTAATCAATGAAGAAAAAGTTGCTCCTTTTACATAAGGCCAACATCTTTAGGAATACGGCTGCTTATCTGAGTAGGGCATAAAAAAGTAATACTATATTCAGGTGGGTGCTAAAATAATAAAGCAACCCAGTTCTACATGTTTGAAAGTTAAGCATTCTGTTAGACAAGTAGGATGTGGCACAATTATCTTGAAAATGAAAAGTTGTCTGGATTTGGGAAATAGTCTGAATTTTATTTCTCTTAGAGCAGAATTGTGCAGACAACTCATACTGGAGATGGTTTGCAGAAAAAGAAAAGGGCATTATTGTATCAGCCAGGAAGCTGCAATTTCACCTAATTTACTAAAGTTTAATATTTCAGCACAGCTGGGCTCAAGGCAACAGCAGAAGAGTCAGCCTTGCACTGGGCTCCCTAAACACCCTTGCTGTGAATTAAGTTACTTTTTATCAAGCCAATGGCTATCAGCAGGGGACTCACCAAAGCCCATTTTAATTGGAAAACCAAGTGTAAATTTGCAATGGGAAATCTGAACCCAGTGTTAAAATTTGAGAGTAGAGAACTTTACCACCAGCTTTGTAAATGAAGACTTGGTTTGGTAAAATATGAATTACCCTGCTTATCCTTGAGAGATTAAAAAGAAAAAAACCTGACAAAAACATAAATCCTTATGTATGATCAGCCACAGAACCCAAACTGGAAAACTGTGTATTTGGTAATTTAAGATTAGCAGGTTTGACCAACAACCTCAAAGATCCATTTTGGTCATTCAAGTAATCAACGGAGGCCCAGAATCTAAACTGAAACTCCGGGTGATGTGCAGAAGTCTGAGCTGGTGTGTGAACCTATCTCACTCACCCAGTCTGTCCAGCATTTGCCGCTCATTTGCCTTTTGTTATTCTTTAGTTATCACCATGAATGCCCTTACTTTCAGAAGATCACCATTAAAACCTCGTTGGGAATTACTGATACATAAAAAATGTCCAAATAATTGAAAATCTTCCTGGAAGTTGGGGTTTCTCATTTTTGGTGTAAGGTTTTAAACATTTCCATGTGTGCATGGATTTGGGGAGTCATAAAGAAGAATCCCAAATATCAAGTGGCTATTGTATCCATTTGTATACATGAGTACAAACTCTCAATATAGAGAAATGCAGAAAATTAATACACCCAAGAATCTTTTCCTTCATTTGGGTGACATTTTTATCTCCCTAATAGAAAGGGTGGTTCCTGATGTCTTCAGGCTGCTTGATTGGTTTTAGTAATATTAGAGATTTGTGAAGACTATAGAACAATAGCACATTCATAAATATTAAACTATTCCTTGGGGGACAAAATTCATAAGGATAGTATAACCAAGGCTACATATTTTCAATAAATCATAAGATATAAATAAAAGTAGAAATAACTTCCAGAAATCAACAACCTTGTATGAGATGGTGCTATGTTTCCAAATACGTTTTATTACAGATTTCTCCCACTGCTAATTGAATATTTAAAAAATTGATGCAATTCCCTGCACAACGTAGTTTTAACTTTAAAGATAGAACACCTAAGATGATACATAAATTTCACATAGGTCTTACGTTTGTAAGAAATCCAATTTGTGGTATAACTAAAATTACAGAACAAAAAAAATGAGTTATTACTCACAGTGCAAAATAGATTTTTAATGTATAAAACATTCAATCTTCAAAAACTCCTCTCTCTGAAATCCACTTAAAAGTCCATCAAGGACCAAAAAGAGAAATGGAAACTATTTATCCTGAAACTATAAAATGGCCACAATCCCATTCCACAAATTCCCAAGAATATCTGCGAAAGGTGAACCCACTGGACAAGAGTACCAAGTTCAAGACTCATTGCCCCTTTTTATGAACTTAAATTTGTAGGGTGGGGGGAATGGGAAAGTTTCTGAAGGCCCTACGAATGCACAACTTGGAAGAACAAAGTCTGGGAGTAGGTCACATCAAAAATGACCAGTGATTCGTGTAAATGGCCAGGGTTACAGAGTTCAGAGACATGGTGACCAATAGTTCTGTTTCCAGTGAATACAGCTTTCTAGCCAGAGCAATGATGACCTAGACATAATGCTGTTCTTTTTTTTTAACCTATAAGGAAATATGTTTTTAATAATAAGTTTTTTATTGTTATGTTAATCACCATACATTACATCATTAGTTTGTGATGTAGTGTTCCATGACTCATTGTTTGTGCATAACACCCAGTGCTCCACGCAGAACGTGCCCTATTTAATACCCATCACCGGGCTAACCCATCCCCCCACCCCCTCCCCTCTAGAACCCTCCGTTTGCTTTTCAGAGTCCATCGTCTCTCATGGTTCGTCTCCCCCTCCGACTTACTCCTCTTCATTATTCCCCTCCTGCTATCTTCTTCTTCTTCTTCTTCTTTTTCCTTAACATATATTGCATTATTTGTTTCAGAGGCACACATCTGTGATTCAACAGTCTTGCACAATTCACAGCGCTCACCATAGCACATACCCTCCCCAATGTCTATCACCCAGCCACCCCCTCCCTCCCACCCCCCACCACTCCCGCAACCCTCAGTTTGTTTCCTGAGATTAAGAATTCCTCATATCAGTGAGGTCATATGATACATGTCTTTCTCTGATTGACTTCTTTCACTCAGCATGACACCCTCCAGTTACATCCACGTCGTTGCAAATGGCAAGATCTCATTCCTTTTGATGGCTGCATAATATTCCATTGTGTATATATACCTCATCTTCTTTATCTATTCATCTGTCGATGGACATCTTGGCTCTTTCCACAGTTTGGCTCTTGTGGACATTGCTGCTATAAACATGGCGGTGCACGTACCCCTTCGGATCCCTACATTTGTATCTTTGGGGTAAATACCCAGCAGTGCAATTGCTGGATTGTAGGTTAGCTCTATTTTCAACTGTTTGAGGAACCTCCATACTGTTTTCCAGAGTGGCTGCACCACCTTGTATTCCCACCAACAGTGTAGGAGGGTTCCCCTTTCTCCACATCCCCGCCAACATCTGTCGTTTCCTGACTTGTTCATTTTAGCCATTCTGACTGGTGTGAGGTGGTATCTCATTGAGGTTTTGATTTGGATTTCCCTGATGCCGAGCGATGTTGAGCACGTTTTCATGTATCTCTTGGCCATTTGGATGTCTTCTTTGGAAAAGTGTCTGTTCATGTCTTCTGCCCATTTCTTGATTGGATCATTTGTTCTTTGTGTGTTGAGT